AGGAGGATGCATCCCTGATGTGGGCCCTGTACCACTCTCAGGCATCTTTTGGGCTGAAGCTAATCCCCACCACCGTGAAGATCTGTAATGGCAGTGCTCACCTCTCAGCTTGTGGTTTATACCTCGTTCTGTTCAAGGGGAAGCAGGCGCGTGATTAATCTCATTCCATATTCCCATAATTTAAAGTCAGTCAGATGAACGTTGTTGTAAGACTGGCATCTAAGATTAATGGGTTGGATTGTCTTCTGAACATACCTCTCCCACCCTAAACCACAGAGGGAATCTTAATTAGGTTCTTGCCCTAACAGAAAAACCCAGCTTCACTGAAATAAGTCCCACCTGGGGTGCTGGGAGCAGTCTCAGAGGAGCCAGTGTCCCCAGGGCACCAAACCCTACAAAGGATGAAGGGGAAAACACTTCTGCTCTCAATCTGAGGCATCCCTGCTACTGCTGTGTCCTGTGGTGTGTGTCCCCTCCACTCCATACCTGTTTGGTCTGGTGTGGTGACTGTGAGGTCACAACCGCTTCTCTGGAAAATGGTTTGCAAATTCTTGCTCCTTTCCATTATCAGCAGAAACAGCCTTAATCTTTACAGCCAGATATAATGTGCACAGCATTACATCAGCACATGGTGCTGTCAGTGCCGTGTAGTAATATTGTTGCTGTAGCATAAGCTTGTGTTTCCTGCATTGATATTTATACTTACTTATTTTGGGGGAAATATAAATAAAATGCACAGTGTAATGCTATTTCTCGGGGTGACTGCCATAACAAGTAGCAGATACTATTCAAAGTATCATAGAGTAATTCAGTTGGAGGGGACCTCTGGAGGTCACCTGGGCAAGCCTCTGCTCAGAGCTGGTCCTGTTCAAGCACGCTGCAGATGACTGTGTCCAGATAAGCTACAGATGGAGAGCCATAGCCTCTTTGGGCAGCTTGTTCTGGTGTCTGACCACCCTCACACTGAGAAGCATTTTCTTTCATGTCTAACTGGAATTTCTGATGCTTTACCTGGTGTCTTTTACATCTGTCTCTGGTCCCGTCTTAGAAAAGTCTGATCTCATCTTTGCACCTTTCACGAGACAACTGAAGGCCGTGACACAATGCCTCCTTAGACCTCTTGACTCAAGACTGAACAAAATCTGGGTGGCTTCAATGCAAAGCCTTTATTCCTCATGCCTATTACAGTCCTGTCCTGCAGCTATGACATTAGGTGGCTGGTTTTTACTCGTTACAGGCATATTGGTGTCTTAGATCAATTGCGTGAATGTTGGGATCCTAAAGGAAGAAACAATACAGTATGAATTGCTGTTACAATTGCAGGCTGGGTGCCTCCACTAAGACTGCGAGTTTTGTGTCTTCGGGAGAAAAAATGATTTGCACATTTAGGTATGTTTGACCTTCATCACCATCATAGATTTTACAGAGATAACTAGTGCCAGGTGTCTCAGCTTTGATATCTTCTTCATCTTCCACAACCTTGAGTACATTTTTAAGCTCACTTAGAGCCAGTCTGTGCTCTCAGGGGATCTAGCAGACAAACCCATGGTCTTACTCATCATCATTCTCGAATTTACTTGTGCTGTAGCACGCGTGCAAAAGTAAGTTGTTAGTCTACATCACCCTGTACCCATGTCCTGTACTGAAGCTGCCAGGCTGCTGCTGGCCAGACCTGGTGCACACTGTTTTTGGTTTTTGGTTTTTTTTTTTTTCAGATGGGACAGGATACACAGCTAATGAACGAGGTACATAAGCCACACCAATAAGGCAAAAACCTGTTATATGATTTAGCCTTCACATGCTCCACCTTCCATGTGAGAATTTTTCCTTTGGTGCTATGGCTGAGATCCCCCTATGGAAAAAGCAAGGTAGGAAGCACAAATGGGGAACCCTCAAGTGTTTTTGTTGACTGTCAGCTCTGCAGAGACTGCAGCTGTATCTTTTTGCTTCTCCTTTTAAGTTATGTATGTTAGCATGCTGGCAAGTGCCAGAGGTTTATGTTTGCCATAGCTCTGTTAAAAAAAAAAAAAACCAAAAACAACATAGTATTAGTACAGTTTCCTACAAAAATTAGTCTTCAATGGGCTTTTTGTTCCCCACCTCAAGGATGGGCAACATTGCTCATCTGTTATGCCATCAGCCTGCTGCCATGTCTGTGTGTCCCCATCTTGTATTTGGCTTGTAGGCTCCCTGGAGTAGAGCTGGGCATGACCTCTGAGCTCCTGGCATGAGGGGACCCCAATCCCCAATGGAGGCTCATTCCTACAGACCAGGACGCCCAGACAGCTGTGAGAGGGGTATGCTGGTCAGGGGAAGCTGGGTCTGCTGTTGCTAAGGCTTAAAGGCAGTTTTCAGAAGCTGTTTATGTCCCTGTTTCAGGCCCAAGATCATAAATGTTCTTTTAAATTCCCCCTTTGGTGTGTGTTTTTATATATTATATAAAATAATCTTTAATTTGCCTCAAGGGGACATTTCCAAATTTTAAAATGAAGTAAGCAGGGATTAGGCTGCAGGGCTACCACTCCTCCCAGCTGCACGCAGCCACTTGAGGTCTGGAAGCAGCTTTGGCTTTGCACCACAGCAACACAGCTTCTTTGCTTAATGAAAATACATGAAAATCAGAGGTTCCTCAAGTGTAAAACTGAACACTTGAGGGTTCTTCTGGATTATCTGGAGAATGGCCAGCTACCTGTCAACTGTATTACCCTCTGTGCTACTCTTGAGTCCTAAGCACATCAAGACTTACTGATCTCAACCAGGTGTGGGGTCACCCTGCTTGCAGCTCTGCAGGGAGACACATGGCTAAGTGGGAAGTCCAGGCTGTTCTGGTCAAGGATCTGGTGATGGGTGTTTGTACCTGGTTGCACTGGCTCTAGAACAGCATTCTAGAATCACCAGCTCATTTTCACAGCTTTTTCCCCCAAGATGTGATGTGATCTGAACAATAGGTCTGCTCTATGTTATGGTCACCATGTTGTAAAGTGAGGGGTTATGCCACGCTGCAGCATGCCCTAACACCTCCCACAAAGCTTACTAACATCTGGAGGTGTTATTATTTTCACATTACCCAAACACACCTGTTGTTTCACATTCATGTTCCGGCCATTCCTAACCTGAAATTCTTCTGGTGAAGCATCAGAAACTTTGATGGGATGATCAAGGGAATGCATCTATGTAGTGTATGGTGGTCATTCAAAACTGTCTCATCTGGTAGGTGGCAGTTTAAGTAATTTGAAAGTGAAATATTCTACTGTTTAACTTCTGTCCTGTACTATCCTACAGAAGGATAGTACGGGATGAAAGGCTAAAAACAGGCTGTTAACCCTTTAACATTATCTACCAAGTTTGGCCTCAACTGATGCAGTAATTAAGATGTATGTGGTGAAAGAATCATTACTGCAACAAACCTGGCCTAATCTTGTGTGGTAAATGGAACTGGAGATTAGAGAAGTCTGTACAATTTCTACAGCTAAAAGCTTGTAGCGAAAATAGCCTCAACACTGAGAAAAACTAACATATTTCCTTCCAAAATCACAGAGCAGTAAGAAAACACAGGCAGAACACTTAATGGAAGCACCTATTACTGTAGGAATGCACGTCTAGCTCTTGCACTAGCTAAGGGAAAGAATGATTTGATCTTATATCCCCTGTGAAATCTGTACATGTATTTTAACCAGCACATGTCCCAAAACCCAGACTGCTCAGGGGATGCACACACTCAGCATTTTGGAATGAGGAGAGGAGGAGGGAGAGCCAACATTGCTTATAGCCTCAAAGCAATGACAGCCTGTAGAGATGAAGTACACCAGAAAGGTCAGAAAAAGGTAAGGCTGCACCCTGGAGAACTCAGAGGGGCTTTTAAACCCAAACAGGATCTGTCATTAGGAACACCGCACCACATCCACACTTCTCAACAGAGCAGCCTGTCAAACATCCACCTGGGAGCACGACTACAGCCTCAACCACAGGGACAGGAGCTGCTCTAGAGGAATTGTTCTCCCTTGTGCTTCAGTACAAGGCTCCACGTGTTTGCTTGAATACAGCTGCATGTATCACGACCTTACACACCAAGGCAGTGCTGAGCCACCACCCAGAAACCAGCCTTACAGCCTGGCTGCTGAAGATTGATGGATATCTGAGCACAGCAGCTTTATTTTAAAATAAAACTTTCAGCCTTTGTGTTTGTGATGGCTGTTAGCATGACCTCAGCATAACCACCGTCAGAACACCATTTGTCCAAGTCTGCAGAGAACGTTTAATGATAGATCTGAGATGTGAAGGATTTTATTCATCACTACAGCATTTTTAATTCCAAGACACTATCTGAGCAGCACTACTTATCAAAGAATGAGATATGGCAGAAAATCACAAGGTTGTTCACTCAGCTTCACACACTTTGCAAAAGTAAATAATCCAAAATATATTATTGTGCCTGCACTTCTTTTTGTGATTTGGGAGACTATGGTCACTGCTGCTGTCCTCATAAAGAGATGGAAGAGCCTTATCTCACTCCCTCCAAGGAAATCCCCCTTTCCTTGTCAGCCTGAGCTGAAAAATTGCACCAGAAAAGTAACTGCTGCCAGGGGGCAGAGCACTTTGTGATTTTTGCAAGTTGCAGTTTGAGACCTGCATCCTATGAGGGTGTGCAGGCTGTCACTGATGTGACCTCTTTGCAGCTCTTCCACAGCTTATACTAGGCAAGGTCACTTAACTGTACATGCCTTAGTTTACTGGTGAAGTGAGGTTAAACATTAAAAAGGAATAGATAAAAGTATTTGTTAAGAATTTATAAATATCTAAAACCTGGAACTTTTCAAAATGTAAATTACTCAACTGATACATCAGGAAGCACTGATGAGGAAACAGAAAGTCAACAGTAACAAACCACAGCATCTCCACACTCTGCTCAGAAAGATGCTCCACTGAAAGAGGTGCAGGCTCTTCACGTGCCTGGTGTACCCAGCCATACTTGGCGGAACATGAGCAAACAGAGATACTGTTTAGAAATCTTCATCATCGAAGGTCTCAGTGCATCTCAGCATCACAGTCACATAATCGAACTGAAGATCTTCTTCCTGAAAGCCCCACCAATGTCAAGCAGGATTAAAAATTACAAGAGTTGACTGTGTTTCAAACATACAGTGGGTTGGTTGAGTGCAGATGTGTGCCAGCTAATGCGCCATGTGCCCTCCTTCCTCTCTGAATCAGAACCAGCACTTGCCAAGTGTCTGAGAAGTCTGATGAAGAATGGCTCAAATTTTCAACCAATTTATTTCTAAAATCACAGGGCTCCACCCTGTGTCTTTTTACATCATTTAACAGCTGTTACTGACTGTGGTAGCAAGTGGGTCACATACCAGGCTCTCCAGATAGAAGTTTCCTCGAGCCCTTAACTTCTACCGAGTTCAGGCTTTGCTGGTCCTTAGCAACAGAAGGAAATGGTCTTCACTTTCATCATCTTACAAAGAATAAGTGGTTCTTGGCAAAACAAAGTCTAGGAGTTTCCTAGAAAACACTGAAAGTGTTCATCTAGTTCACCTTCTGCACTGATACAAGACTCTTTAGTGCAAGACTGCTTTTAGAAGTAGGTGCTGTTTAAAAAATACATAGCTTAAAGAGCACTAAATCCCACTTGCTTGTCAAGTGACTCATCTAAAATCCATAACTTTAAAAGAAAGCGTGCCTTTGAAGATGCAATGGTAGTCAGTGATATATAGAAGAAAACCCACTGACTTTCATGCAGATACTGGAAAACCTTTGGACCTCAATCTAAATTAATTATTTACTGCCTTTGCTTCTAGGAATCTCTTATGATGGGACCTTAAGACAACAGCCCTTGAAAAATTACAAGGTTGCTTAACTAATTTCATGCTCAGAAATATTTCTCTACCATGTACCATGGAAGCATGCTCCTGTTCTCACTTCTGGATCACTGTCCTTCTAAGAGCCCTCCTTCCTTGTCCGAATTATTTCCTCCCTCTTCTTGTGCGAGTCTTTCTCAAGCATTTTATACCAGCGGGTTGCAAGCCCTTGGCAGCCTTGAGAAGCCTGGGCAGCAACTCAAGAGGAGCTGCACACACTGAGTACAAAATGGTGAACATACAAAATCTGACAACAGTCGTTTGTACCTGGACAGTTAACCAGAAATAGCATAATGCAACATTGGCATATAATGACCAGCAATAAAACCTGTCACCTCATCAGCTCTGCAGATGAAAGGAGACCACAGGTTGCTCCTCCTATTTCAGTTGAGTGCATGCTGCATGTCTCGCCTTGCTACTGTACCTGCTGCCCACCTGTATCTTCTACAGGCCGTGTGCACAGTTCATCAAGACAGCACTTTATCCTTGGGATAATTTATCCCAGCACTGCCCAAACTCCTGGGCTAGTGTAGCACAGGTAACAAATCAAGGGAAGGGGAATGATCTGCAGGGGTTCAGTCACACCTGTAAGATAAGCAGGCAGGGCTCCTTTCCCTGGCAAGTCCAGGTGTCTCTGATGCTCCAGAAACTGGGCTCAGTTTCTGGGGTACGGCATGCAGCCTATATGGAATTGGTGTGTTTCAAGCTAGCTGGAACATCTGCCCACTCTGCAACCACTTCCGTAACTGCCTCCATCTGTTTGCTTTGAGGTGGAGCTCAATTTCTGCTCCCAAAACAAAAAAAATTCTTGTCAATTTTGTTTTGCTTTTTTTTTTTTCCTTCCTCTTGGCAGGACTCTTGAGATGTGCTGTACCACAGTTATCTAAACCAAAACAGATTGTGCCCTTCACATTATCAGTACTGTCTAGCCTGGCTGATTTCTGCTCACTCCCTTTTTATTGTCTTATCACAGGCAACTCAAAGTTCCTGCACAAAAGCCTGTGCAGCCTTTTATTTCCATTTGGATCCACAGAGCTCAGTCAACTGCCAATTTGGTGTACTTCAGCTTCTTTTGCTGCTTGTCTTACCATTACTCCCATTCTCCTAGTCTTATTTCAAATGTCCCTCTTTAAAGCTTAAGAGAGACGCTACCTCTTCTCATACCACCTCATCTGGGAGCTGCGAAGACTTGGGCTCACATATAATAATGTAGCACCAAGCAGAAGGACAAAATGGGACCACCTAATGCTGCCAGGCCTGACATTTTCTGATTTGAAGTTTCTTTTGAGAACACCCTATCTTTCTAACGATTTTCTTTCTTTTCTAGGCCTGCTCAGTTCATGGTCACTTATATAAACACAGGAAGGGCTCTGCTTTTATGCAGAACATAGAACAAAGGTCTGTGAGGATCAGTGCCTGGTCTCCAGCAAAAGCCAGAAGTGGATGTTTAGACAGAAAGTGCAAGAATTGTTCATGCAGTGGACTCTGTTTCATGATATATTCTCCTACATTATGGCAAACTGCGTTGTGAGGTCCTTCTGAGCTGGAGATGCTATCTGGACCTTCAGATTTAGTAACTGTCAATGGACCGATGTACCAGGAGTTAAATCTGGCAATCTGCGTGTGCAAATACTTTTAAATATGTTGTTTGTTCATTTCATTGAGAGCTTTCTTGTTCTTCTGGTGTTAGACATATTGAATAATCATTCTGTGTACCAAATCCACATCATTCAGGATCAAAACTGTCACATTATCCCTCAGTTGTTTTTTTTTTCTGGAAGAGTGCCAGTCTAATAGCTCCTGTTTAATGCCTCTTGCTGTGCCTGCTGTCAATCTCTGCACCTCCTAAAGTGCTACTGTTTCCTCAAGATGGGGGGAAACCAAATTGCAGCAGTCACTATGTGATATATTCAGATAGTGGTGCAACACTAGGTTTGTGCTTTCTGTCCCAATAACTCCTCATCACAAACACTATTTTCTTCGAAGCAGCATCTGTTCAAGTAACAGAGACTTGGTGGAAGCTAGGTAATAGAAAATAGCAGAACAGTGGCTACTATGGAGGTACAATTGACTCCAAGCCCAAATAAGCATATTCTGGCTGAGGGATATCTCCCTTTCAGTCCCCCACCCACATGCAAGCTCTGAGCCACCTCCTTGGCAGGAGGGCAAGGAGGGCAGGAAGAACGCTCACTGCAAACACAATGACTTCAGGCTCAGTGAACCTGCAGATTCAGGCTGATGTTACGAAGCAGCTCAGCACCTGTTTATCAGCTCTTTTAAGAACACGGATACCCTACCAGCAGAGGGCTCAGGGTAGGAAACCTGAAGGTAGTCCTACTAAGCTCAGAATGAAGCTACTGAGGGTTAATGGAGAACTGCAAAGTAAGCTTTGCCTGCTCAGATGAGATCACTCAAGCTTTTCCACAAGGAAGCTTCATGCAAACAATAAAAAAAAAAAAATCCTTATGACATTTGCCATTTTGAGTAATATTTTAAGCAGTAACAACCCCTCACACTTTGCTTTTTACAAAGGCCTACTGACCTTTTGGAATGATACATCTGAGGAACGCCAAGTTCTTACCTGAAATGATTCTGGGCAATATGGCCAGAAGCACAGAAAACAGAAATCCCTTCCTGACGATGGTAAAGCTTACCTGGCAAAACTGTGTGTCAGCAAAGAAGAGGCTTTTTAGGAAGTCAGTGATCTGCAGATACAGTCTGTGGTGATCCATTGGATTTTCAGAAGTACAGCTCAAAAATGCTGAACTGAAAATGGAACCAGATACTATATTTAATTTCCCTCATTTCTCCTCCTACATATTTTTATGTTTTGGGGAAAAGAACAAATCCATTATAACAGAGAGCAACAATGGCTATTTGGTAGTGTATTTTCCTTTCAGAGGAACAGCTTTGACTTCTGTTAAGTTTTTGAGTGAATGCAGGGACATGTGGTCTTGAAATGACATATCTGTCAGTGGCAGGTTTGTACTCAGGTAAGAGGTAACTGGCAGAAGGCAAGGATTTTCATCCTGGACCTCACCTCTGTATTTCCCCTGGGTTTTCACAAATTCTGCCATCACACCTCTGTCCAGAATTACAAGGCACAGAGTAACAAGGAAGGAAGGGAACAGGATAAATGTTCACTACTGAAACACTAATCCAATTTGGGAACTAAAACTGATTGCAAAGATGATGGCAATGCACAGCAGTGTTAGGGAATATTTAATCTTATTTTAAAAGCAAACAGCAGTTGTAACCTAGTAAATGTTATTTAATTGATACCTATATAAGCTTTATTATGTATGCAAGTATATTCTGATCAACAACCAAAACAACCTTATTTTCATTCATTCTGTTCTAGAAGTGAAAAGTGGAATGGTGGTGAAAGACAAAGAAATTCACACTAAAGAACTCTCTGAACATGGGAAAATAAGTAGAAAACGTGATCTAAAAAAATGTATTAAAAACACTATTTGTAAAGAGAAATAATCCTAATGAAGACTAAGTAGCAAGAATGCATAAAAGATGAGTCATAATGGGATTTTTCCTCTTTAGGAAAGCAAACTTTTCTTTCTTTGGTCTACTGGGAAAAATCAAAGGCAGTGCCAGCTTAGTATCTGACGTTCTCTTTCAGGTAACTCATCTGACCTGCAGAGGAAAAAGATGTTATTATTCAGAAGGTCTTGAGTTTCTTTAATGTTACTGTTCAGGTCAACCACACTTTAGCCTGGCCACCTCCTTGTGATTGAGCTAGGGTACTTGAAAAAGGTAAGGGAGAACATTTATAAAAAATTATCATTTTTGTCTCATTAAATGAGAGTACAATATATGATTAGCTGACTTATCCAGGGCATGCCTTATGGTCCTCATAGACCTGGTAAGTGACAGAGAGAGAGAAAAGAATAACATTACAAATTTTGAACATGTTCTGTCTTTTAAAATTACAGTACAAAATTTTGTAATTTGATAAGGTGAAACACTATGCAGAGTGATGAAAGAAATCAGAAGCACCCAAATTATCCTAAAGTGACGGGGTGCTCTTAGTAAGCGATTCTTTCTAATCATGCCATAAATGCCTATTAATTATTTCACTTTTGAACCTTAAGAGCATTATTGTGAGCAGAATTGCTGGAGGCTGCTATTCTAATCATTTACTAAAAATCAGGCACAAGAAAGGAAGCTAGGCTATTGCCTCACTCCACATAAAACTTGCTGTGGGGTATTGACAGTGGGCTATTAACTTACCCTGTCTAGCAAAACAGGTGAGTTTGCAATTTACCTCTGGCTAGACATTCCCTGAGTCTCGCTTCCGTCAAGCAAACCAGCAGCAACATCAAATGCATCTTCAAACATTACCTATCGGTGAAAACACTTCAGATGTCAACATATCCAGCTACCCAGAAGTTTCACCTAGGCCATCAATTTCAATAATGAAGTCTTTAAAAGCATGATACTCTTTTTTTTCATTTAACAGGTAGGTTAACAGCTAGAGTAAACCAAGAGGGTTTTATGAAGACAGGAATAATGAGTAACTGTATTTCACCACTAGGAACACAAGGTTAGTCCATTCCCTTAGGCCCGTGTTTCACCTCTAGGAATTAGATTTAATATTACATCTCCCAAAAAATTCAGTAGAAACCATGACTTTTTTCAGTGCTTTAGAGACTTGACTGTGGCTGCGGCTTATGGCTGGAGATCTCAGTGCTCCCAGCCAGTCTCCCCAGATCTGATTCCAGTGCGCAACCTGGCTTACAAAGGAGTTCAGATGCTCCCTGTGAAAGACCAATAAGCTCATTAGCTCACTCTGCCATAATGTAGTTCACACATTTTCTGTGCCAGAAACTATTGTCCATGGAACATCTCCGTAACACTTCCTAAGGAGGTCAGCAACATCAGTTGAGCCCAGTCACTCAAAAAGAACAATGCAAGTGCATGTCTGTCCCTCTTGCAGCTAATAAAATTACGCACATGTCTTTGAGCAGCTAGTTGCTTAAGTAATCAGTGCTCCAGGAACAGTTTACAAGGAGTTAGCTGTTACTTAATTTCTTTTTAACAAATGCCCCAGTCTACTCAGTCACTGACTTCTCAGCTCTGCAGAGGTGCATGGCACAGGCAGTCATTAGCCCTGTGCCACTGGAACTGGTCTACAAATACTTTCTCTTTGCTACCAAGTACTTTGATGAAAAAAAGCCCACCTAACCCACAACACAGCAGGCCTTGGCAAACCGGGTATTCCTTCTGGATTTAGGTCATCTGTGCTCCTTGGAGAGTTTACAGAGCACAGTAACCGTATAATTCTTGTTCTTGATTCCTCTCCCTTGTGCACGTTAGAGCAAATTTAACTGTTACTTAACACAGAAACCCTAAGGTTAGTGGACACTACAGCAGGATTACTACCACTGCACTCCTGTAGCTTGCTCTGTCTTTTACCAAGACAGAATTTGGTGCAGACCTTTACTCACAAGTTTGCTTATTGTCTCTATTTTTGCATTGAAGTGGACTCGTGGAAGCTTAATTACAACTACTGTATGTTTCTGATTAAAAGCTGCAGAGCCAATTAGCATCTGAAGGCTTGGAGTTTCAGGGGCAGATGATGCATGTTACTGAGCACTTACTTCCTCTGGTGTGGAGACTGAGGAACCACTGGCTTCCTCACTGCTACCTCGGCTGTCCCTCACACTACCTTCAGTGCATGCAGGCTCTTGGCAAGCAGGCTTAGGATCCACGAGGGAGTCTCTCTGGCTACAGTACTGCAAGATGCTGTCTCTCCTTTCTTCAGAAAGCTCTTGCCAGAGGTGGGAAATAGCCATGGAGACCTCAGGAAAAGGCAGCTCCTCAGAGCACACAATTCCATGCTCTATCAGAAGGTCCACTGTGTGCTTATAAAAATACAGGTATCTGTAATGAAAGGAAAGGGAGCATCTCTTAAGAGCAGGCTATGAGGCAGCCATTTCCTGTAAATCGGCAGCAGACTGGGGGGTAACTCTGATTCACAACTACTTTACTGACTCCTCTCTCTAAGACTCAATACAATTTCTGAAGGTTGCCCAACACTGAAGATTTTAGCAATCAGTTCTGCCAAGATTTTGTCTGCAAAAGGCAGGCTCCAGCCAGAGCCTCAGCACAACTGCCTCGCACCGAAGCTCCAGGCGTTGCGGTATCTACTTGTTGCACAGGCAAACCTCATCCTGGCATTTAAAAAATTTTGAGTTACTTGCCTTTGTATCCTGAGACTTTTACACTATAAGTCACTTTTTATACTTTTACTGGCGTTGCACTACATTTAAAAGCCTTGGCTGAGGTTGTATCCTGACATATTAGGTACTATGTGTACAGATAGAAAAAGAGAGTATTCCATGCCTGGATGCTCTGACTTAAAAAAAACATGAGAGCTCAATTTCCTCCATTTTACATCTGAGGAAACACATCCCTAAGACTGACCTCTGCAATCTGTAGTGAAACTGGTAAAGAATGTGTCATAATTTCAACCCAGTGACTGAAGCTCAGAAAGAGCCAGCTTCTTCTATAAGAACGTGACAGCGAACCAGGGATAACAATGTCTGCTTTGTAAAGCAGCACTAAGGTTATTTCACATTAACTAAATGAGCTTCGAGCTTCTCAAATGAAAATAACAAGATCAAAGGAGCACAAACCAAGATTTCTAGAAACAGCAGTCATTTTTACCAAGTTTGGACTCAAAATGATTCTTCAGATGTCCCAAATGAGAACATTTCCTGATTAACTGAAGAGTACAGCATAAGAAAGTAACTCAGAAGAGTTCAGTCTCTCTTTTTTTTTTTTTTTTTTTTAATATTTATTCCAGCAAACCAATATTGAAAACCTTAAGATAATTCTGCATGCAAGCAGAACCATGTTTAAATTCCAGTTTCCATACGCTGGGGTATTTTTCACCATTGCTGGAGACAAAACACTGGAAGGGGAATAAGCATCCTCATGTAAGGTACTGCACTCACTAAGGATTCTGCATGTTCAGCTCCAAACATAGGATCTGGAGTTTCTCAAACAGAAGAATATGAATCACCATTAGACTGCTTTACTAAAGATATTAAGGTTGAACCATGACTCAGCTATATCCTTCCCAGATGGAAGGAGACAACCACATTTTTGCACTGGACAGAGCACTGTGTAGTCCT